GTTACAGTCATGTAAGCATTGAATAAGCCTCACGTGTTTACAGTGATTATACAAGACAAATAGGTTTGCCTGAGGGGCTCACAAGGAAGGTATCAATGCTGTTCCTTTAAGCCCTATTTCAGCAAGGAACTTGAATTTTACTTGACTTCAAGCATAAAATTAGTCCCATTAAACATTTTCAGAAAAGAAGAGGAAAGTGAACTCTCCATTATTTTCTCGACATTTTGGCAGTACATGAATGGTAAAAGAAACTTAAACAAAAAATGTGAATTAAAACCTTCATAACTACTACTGTAACAATGTGATCATGCCTCTAAGTCATCCAGTGCTGGTCATCCAAATGGTTTCTGAGCTGAAAAAGATAATTTCTATATAGTCAGGCCAGACTGAAGCTTGTCTGTTATTTCCATTTAAGAACATACTCATTTATTCAGAATTTATTCCCAATTTATTTAGAATTTATTTCCAATTTATTTCTCTCTCATTGTCTTAAGTTATATATGTGCTTCTCCCAGAATGGACTGACTATATCTTGTGTCTCACAATCACTACTCTGCTTTTTTAATTGAAAAGGAACCATTTTTATGACCACACAAGATCTTGCGTGTCATGTGAAACTTTTTAGAAATAAAAGGTTACAACAACCAAAGTATTTGCATAGGTTTTAGTAGTGTTTTTAATTATTTTATTGCTATACCATAGACATATTTACTTATATATACTTGCCTCTAACAATTTCTAAAAATAAAATGAACATGAAAACCAATTAGGTTCATAAAAAAGAACTGGTTAAAGGAAGGGATATTAAATGACAGAGTAAATTAAAAAAAAAAAATCAATCATAGAAAATAGTGTATTGCCAAAATATATGTTGCTCTGAGGTGGTTCATTTCTTGAGCTGGTCACTGAGCCAGTCACTGAGGATACTGAGCAGTCCTGTAAATTGCTGAACACATTAAACACTGATTTTCATGGGCATGAAAAATATAACACAGTAATTTCCTGATTATATGTGAATGGGAGGTTACTGGATCAGAAGAATCAGCCTCAGGGCACCATATACGTTATTATAAAATATTTAAAAATAAGTAAAGGAACAACAAAATAAAGAGATGACATTTAATTTCCAGAATCTAATACTGAAATCAAGGTGATATGTAACTAGAAAGTCCAACCCACTCTCAAAAAAGCTGGGTCATGTTACATACAAGAAGAACTTGCTGGCCTTTGGAATCAGTATAAATGTACACAGCTAGGCTATCAGAATGATGCTGAGTTGTTTCCACAGCATGAGGCAATTATATATGCAAACCTATATGAATATTTAGTTTATCTTGAGTAGGTTGTTTTAGGTATTCACATTCTTTCAAGTCGTCTTTAACATTGATCAGTTAAGATGGCCATATTTGCAGTCACAACTGCAACAAGATCTGATTTTACATTAGTGCTAGCAATTTCAGATCACCCCTCAAACAAGGCTGAGTTTCCTCAGTTTAAGAAGTTTCTGTAGTGGGAATTTTCACAGGTGCCATTTCAATCATGCTTCAAAACCCATTGAAAACAAAGCCTTGTTAGCATCTTAGCAGAGCTGTAGATTTCCCAGGATCACGGTCAGTATTAGATAAAAAGTACAGGTGGAATGGCACAATTCAGAATATGGAAAAAATATTAAGAAAAAGATTCTAAAATACATAATTTGGATTATAGAAATTTACACAAAACTAATGAAGTAGGAAGAATTCAGTAGTACCAAAACAATAAAAGTAATAAAAATATAAGAAATATCCCTAGACACTCTGCAGTATTCACTGTTTCATGCTGAAAGTGGGAAATCAAGCCCAGAAATATACTGAACTGTAATACATTAATGACTTGCACAAACAAAGCACAAAACAGTGGGAAAGACCAGAAACAGACAATACTTAGTACACAAACAGTCTGCTGTGCAGTACTAGAAGACATCAAAGATGAGCCTTGTTTCTCTAGTGAGTGTGGCATGAAAAGCTGAGAAATGACAGTGCCAGTTCTTGACTGTGCTGTGTACTTTCCCTGAAGATCACTACTTGATCTCCAGAATAATTTCAAGACAGCTGTGTGAATTACTAAAATGACAACGTTCTTCTCAGCTGAAAGCTCAGCAGTGATCAGTTGCAAGTAATGCTGTCAAACTAACACTCTCTACACAGTGTTAAATACAGGGTCAAATACAGGGTCATCTTCTAGGGTCACAGAAGGATATTTGAGCTATTTTTCAATCTCTTCGTAATCACATATTTTGCAGTTATTAGGGAAAGCTATTCTAAATGATTGGTCTTTTTATGCTCCTCAGATATTACGTTCATCTACACTAGCACTACTGTGAATGGAAATAGTGGGTAAACTGTAAATACTTGAGCTGAAAGTCTAAATCCAAACTTTTCTGGAAAACAAAACCAACCAACCAATTAGAGGCAGCTTTTAAAAATCTGCTCCGTGGACTGTAATTATACTTTGAGAAATGTCTCAATGGGACAGTACAGCTCTGTGCTGACTGACCCTCCCTGCCAGCTCAAGTTCCTTCGTCTGACAGACAGAAAGATCCATTGCCCACTGAGAACTGAGCAAAATCAGTCCAAAATCTAAGGGTCAGGCTAAGGTCCTTCTGCTCCCACGTTATCACACCACTCCTCCATTGTTCTCTCCAGTAATGCGGTCAGTCGTGAGATTCTCATAGTTTAACTTAAAATCAGGAAGGAATTTTAAGGTGAATCACCCTTGAAATGGTTTTGATTGTATTTACTCTTTGAGATGGCAGTGTAGAACTTGCAGCTTCATAAAGTAATTTGAAGTCTTTAATGAGGGCTAATAAACTCTGTGTATGCTTGAAGATATTCTGCCATCTTAAAAAAAAAAAACTAAAAGAATATATTTGTTTTCTATATTTGGTTGAAAAGTGCTGATGTGCTCTGAAGTGAGACCTGTATGGGCACAGTGTAAGAAGTATTTCCTTTTACAGCAGCCTTATCCACTCATTTCTGCCCTACCACAGCCCACACTTTTGCCAATACTTCGTGCTTAGCACCTCATCCAACCAACTTGAAACGCTCACACTTTTGTGGAAGCCCAGCTCACATAGCTATGGGGTTAAGAAGGGCTGTGAGTGATGCTGCTTGAGCTCACAGTGATGCCAAAAGAAATCCTCATCAAACCACGGCCTCAAGCAAAACCAGCCTGAGAAATCCCAGCTCCTCGTAGGTGGTCTGCTGATCTGAACAATGCACTGAAAGCCAAAAACTGTCTTCCAGACAGATGTTACTTGAGAATTATGCATTTGCTTTTTTTTTTTTCCTCATCTTGCAATGCCTGGAACAGATCACAGTTTTGTCAAATACAATTCCTATTTCATGTTCCTGGGCAACTTTATCATCATGGTATTCACAGATCCAAAATCAAGGTACTGTCTAAATGGAGTAAAAGGTATCGCTTCCGCTATTGACTGGAGGAATGTGATCCTAAGAACTGGGCTCCTGACATGAACCACTTTGGAAAATAAATTTTAAAATGTGTTTCTCTGAAAATCTGTTTTAATTAAATGGCAATGACAGCCACAGGACGGATTTGCTTCCCCAAAATATGATAGAGGTATTGCAAGTTAAATATTCACCACTGGAGAGTATTTATTCAAATTTAGAAGTATTTTGAAAGATGATGCATATTAAATATCCCTACTGAAAAGAAACCATTTCCACTGGGGAAAAAAAAAGATGTCTGGCAAGTAGCTTTCTAGAACAAATTTAAGAGAAAAGGAATGTTATTAACCAGCTCATAACCTGTGACTGCTGCAGAAAAATATGCAAGCTAAATATCTTCAAAGAATACCAAGCAACTATTTATACCTGCAGCTTTCTCTAACTAATCTGTTCTTTGACCCAGGAAAAATAAGTGAATGTTTGGGGTCTCCTGCATCATGGCTATTTCTGTATGACTTAGTTCTGAGAGTGATAACCGGGTAAGAGCTGCAGCAGGTGGAACACGCTAAACCTCACCTACTGAGCCTGCGCTCTCCCTGAGCATTTTCAGTGGCTGGGCTGGATCCAAGTCCCACCTTCTTCAGTCTCCCTTCTTCAGGTCTCAAGAAGCATTAGAGGGAAGAGGCAATTTCCTCTGAAGTTTTATTTTGACTAGTTGAACACAGAAACGTGTAAGTATGGGAAGCACTTGCATATCTGCTACAGAACCAGTATGTATTTTGCGGTTTCATTTAGCATTTTTGCGAAACAGCGTTCCTTGTTAAAGCTAACAACCAGGATAGAAAACAGGCAAAAATCAGTTTTTCCCTATTTTTTTATTGGAAAGGGATCTTTCGGTTGTCCAGACACCTATATGTGTAATGTCCATCAGTCAAAATTTTGGTGAAAAGATAGAATTTTCCAAGTACTTTAAGAGTAATTCAAATTTCAAAACATTTACTGCAGGATGGGAAAAGCAAAAGGAATAGGAAAAAACCCCCAACATTCTATTTTCCACAACGTGGAAAGCCTTACTTTATGTCCCCTTCTTCTGCTACCTTATGAAATACGAATGTTAACATTGTTCTAAAACCCAAACCACCCCCAGGAAAAAAAAAAAAAAAAAAATATTATTTGTTAAACTGAGCCACAGAAACAACTTACAGAATCTTGAATTATCTTGGTCAAGCTACCTAAAAAAATCACTGGGCTTCAAATAAAATATTAACAGAGCCTTAATTCCTTTTTCATACATAAAACATTTTAAATATTTTCTGTACATATATAGAAAAATATAATTCTCATTGTCTCACTGTGCTGTGTGCATGTGCAACTATACGGGTATATAGATTTATAATAACAGTTTGTACAAACATCTATATCAATGTTTTGGTCTTTGATTTCAGGATAAAACATACTTTTCTAAAAGAGGATTTGGGTAATAAAGTTTACATTTTCTGTATTTCTTGATGACAGCAATTACTTTTTAGTGCATGAACAGTTGCTACTTACATTAACTTCTGTTATAGCAATATCAACGACGCTACCAACAACAATTAAGGCATCAAAAGTGTTCCATGCATCAGTGAAATAGTGCTGTTAGGACAAGCATTCAGCAGAAAGAGAGCAAGAGAAAAACACAAACAGAAAAAGAGAAGAAAAGGACAGTGTTATAACACAGAAACACTCTAGGCTTCTCTGATGTACCACTATACAGTCTAATCTTTCCCTTTCATAGCTAAAAAAAATTGGTAGAAAAAAAAGGCTATTTATTTCCCAAATCAACATAATTGACCTATGACTGGTCTGTACTCAAACTTTAGAAACATCAGATCAAAATCTGTGACTTGTCCAGATGATGGAAATAGTGGGGAGACAGAGAAAGAGAAGTAGGGACTGGGGAAAGTAAGCTGGGGTATACTCACATCAGCTTCACTGAGAACGACGTCTACTATGCTGCCAATAACGATGAGGGAGTCAAACGTATTCCAGGCATCACTAAAATAGCCCTGAACAGAGCAGGCAGGGTGCAAACGTTTGTGATTACACATGAAATGTCAAATATTTGCATACTTCTGTTTAGTTTTGCATAAACAGAAATTAGTTAAACAAAACCTGTGGTCTAATGAGAAAACAAAACAAAAACAAACAATATTGCCTACTGAAGGAAAAGCAACATATATGTGCATGTGTGTGTATATATATACTTTATATATATACATGTACAGACACACACACAGACACACACACGCACACACACACACGCGCAGTACACATGCATAATACGCCATCATATAAGCACAGTGTCGGCAAGCAAGCCTTCATCCAAAACTGGTTTTGGACTTCTAGCAAGGCTGAAAAAGTCTAACATATATACCCTAACAAGCATGACAAAACCCCTTTGATAATATTTCTACACGACCAAGCCAACAGAAACCTCCTTAACATTTATGATACTCCTATCTCAGTGACTGGTAAAAATATTCAAAGGGTCAGAGCTCATCACTGGTTAATCACGCACAATTATTAATGCGGAACTGTGCATAAATATTAGAGAACTGACTTCATCTTCTATTCATAAACTAGGTTAAATATAAGAACTCACGCTATACTTGCAGTCAGGGCCTGATTCTGTAACCAGTGAAGTCAGTGCTAGGAACCAGAGCAACCTGAACCATTTCTTATGCTTTCAGTGCAGCCAGTCCAATGTCTGAAAATTCATTTTCATAAATTGCTTAATCACCCTTCTGACATCCTATGGTTTTAAATATATTCCCTATGTGTATGTTACTGGCACACTGCTGCAAATGGTTATAAAGTGCTGTCTATTGCCACCAAAACTGCATGTTTGAGCAAAAAGGTATTTCAGAAGAAACCTCGAGGTAGGTTCCAGGATCAATCTGTCTCTGGGAACAAATCAAGATGTATTACTTTGTTGAAGGAAACTCTATGTAGACAAGATATGTAGGTTTTCTGCAATATGTGGATTTTGCCTAATTATTACAGAAATTCAGAACTGCAAAAATTACTGAACTTGCCCTTTTTGTCATTCAGATATATTAAGTTGTCAGTCAACCATGATTAAGGAATGTGCATTACATTACAAAGGCTGAAATGTACATTCTGTACATGTGCATTCTGCTTTCCTGGTAATTAATTTAAAAACACTAAATTGTCAGCCACTATTGAAGCTCTAAAAAATTGATTTAGCAAAAAGTTTAAAATGCCAAGTGTGCTAGTTTAACCTTCTAGCTACTTACACTATACTGTTTACTATAAGATAATGTTTCAGCTGAGTATTTTAAGTTGTTACATGTGTTATTAGCACAGAAAAGCAAAATCAGCTACAAATTTTTTTTGAACTGGACAATATTTTTCTCAAGATTTTAAACTGTTAGAATTTCTAGTAACGTCACAGTTTAAAGGTTACACTTGAGTGTGTTACGATTTGAAAAAAAGCTAATTTGATGGGGAAATTTGCTCTTGGAGACTACAAGAGAGCTGCTACAGGTGACAACAGCTCTGCAGCATATTCTGTGAGTAAGCGCTGAGCAGAGTCAGGAAAGCCTCATCATGTTTCTAATGCTACTCTCTTTTAGCTCTTTTAAAAGACAAATCACTATAATCATTCCCTCATTTGGGGAAGGGGCTGTAAGAGGAAAGTAGATCAGAGTATGATTATCACTACAGCCCTTTGTGCCACAGGCTTTGGTTCTTTGGGATTCATCATCAATTCCAGTCTTGGGGCAAAAGCCAATGTTCATGGATTTGGCCTCCTAAACAAATGCATCCATTTCTGAGAGCTCCTGCACAATTCCCTATCACTCCTTCCTTACTCATTACACTTGACAGGAACAAGCCATTCCCAAAGTTTCTACTAAACATCATGCTCAACCACCTCAACGATACTGAAATTTATCATCCTGAAGAGGTTAGCAGCTGCCAGCTATAGAAGGGAAGCTACTCCATAATATCCTTCCTGATCATTCATATTCCTTATTTCTAAGAGTAGTATCTTTCTTGATTTTAAAATATTGATATTTTTATATATATACATAAAATAAGAGACTATTGGCAAACAGCAAACAGATAATCAGCACAATCCTGAGCTGTGCTATCCATCTTCCTCTACAGCAATGGGAACCAAAAAGGGTCCTCCAAATAAAGGTTCATTTCAGCTATAGAAAAAATGACTTTACTAGACATGCTACAATATAAGGCACTGAAATAACAAATCCACATTTTGGTTCAATACAGCTAAAATACTTTACACATTTATTTATTTTATGAAACCTTTTCCATCAGTATAGACAAATATTGTTCAAAGTAATATGTAAAGCAAAAGCATACAAATAAACAAAAAACTAAGAGAAAATAAAGATGGTTTTGGAAAAGGGAGGAATGGACAAGTCACAGCAAATAAACATCATGCAAATAAGTTGTTTTCACCACTGCAATGACCCAAGATCAATTCACTTACTAGCCATCTTTCCTTTTTTCTTACAAAAATCTGATGTAAAATGACATGGAAAATCATTACAAGTTTAAGTAACAGCTAGCTATCATGAAGCTGTACATACAGTATGTGTTGATGTATTATTTTAGATTTCATAGCTGTATTTTGTTTTGTACTGTACTAAACCTTGTTAAGTAACAGATTTTAGCAAATGTGAAGAACAATGTGAAAAAAAAATTGCCTGCTCTTTTAACTTACATTATGAAAAATTTGTTCAAAAATCACAAATCCTGGGGAATATGAGGCATAGAGAATTAACACCGAAATACGTTTCTATAGATCTACCACATAAATATTTTAGTCCTTTTAGTACTCCGTTGAAAAGTTTGGGGGCTCATTCTGCAAAGTACTGTGTGTTTCAATCTCCCAGTCAAGAAGTGTGCCAGACACTCAGCATCACCTTTAATATCTACCACTTATCCAAGTTTTATATATTTCAGAGCTGGAAGGCAGTCTGCAGTACCTTGGTACCACAGTATCATAGTAAAGGTATCAGTAATTTATAGTAACCTTAAGTTTGTGTGACCAGCAAAACCAAAAGATCACAGTTTTCACAGGATTTTTGTCAACGTATTAAGGGGACACTGTCAAGCAGATAAGATAAAAACTAACATGTTTTTATGTATTCTTATTTTTACAGAGTGGGTAACCGGGGTTTTATTTGATGCTCCAAGCATCTTTGAAATAATTTTTAAAATGCACAAAATGAATAAATAAAACTGTCCATTCTGTCAGACTAGACTAAGAAACCCACCAGTGACATAAACAGAGAGGAAATGGATCAGTCTTTCCTCATGGCCCCTACAGCAAAACATTAAGTTGGCTTTCAGATTGTTCCTATTATTATTAAATCTTAGTATGAGTTAAAGCAATTCATTGTTGTTTTAAGCATGTATGTAGTTTTAAATTTAGATTACAAAAAGACATTCACATTCTGCTTAAGACTGCTATCTGATTTGCATTTATTAATGAACTGTGTGATATATGTTGCCAATAGGTGTTTTGATAAAGAGTGTCTGACAAATAAAAAAGTTACAACCTTCAAAGAATAACAGCAACAACCTTAAAGATATTTAAGTCCCTTCCCTTCCTGCTAATTAATCTCTGCCAGAAGTCTGACTAATATCATGGCTTTTTAACCTTGTTCTGCTAATTAATAACTTCAAGGTGTTCTGCATCCATAGGGGAATGAAATTCAGGAAATGAGGACCTCTCACTGACAGTCTCTGCCCTTCAAACTCTCAGGGTTCAGATCCAGGGACCTCTCACAGCAAAAGCATCCGATCAGATAGAAAGCACGTTGCAACAGTTAAAACTCAAACTGTACAAAGTCTTAGAGACCAGCATTAAGACATTGCATTTGATAACGAGTAGGAAGTCCATAATACAAATGAAGCACTGTGATTTATACACTCATGATCAGACCACTATATTTTGCATTAGCTGCTATTTCTGACTACAGTCACAAGTGCATGGAGAACCATATAAGGATTCACAATCTTCTTTCAAAGAGCAGATGATAAAATGCAGCAAAGTCTTCTGAAACTTCAGGGTGTAACAAGGATATAGAACAGGAAATACAGATCAGGAAACACGATCAGCATACTCACGACACTGTGGTCCACATATCTGAGCTATCACCTCTGGGGCCTCATAGTGTGTTATTTTTAATGTGAAATCCTTAGCATTTAAATAAGATAGGTGACACGAAAATACAAATAAATTCGTTAGAAATGTACAATGGACTGGACAGTGCAGAGTGAGACTACGGGAGAGTGGGTAAGCATTCACCCAGAACTCCACACTTCACATCTCAACACCAGACCTCCAGTGATGCATAATTTGTTTACCTCTGCAGGCAAATACAAGCTAGCTTTAAATCAAGTAGCTCAGGCTCCACAGCCAAGCTCATGACTAAATGGAAGCTGAATAAATAGCCCTGAAAAGCTGGAAAGTAGTCATACGTCTACTGCATGCTGAGCTCTGGGCAGCCATGATTATGTTGCTCTAAGTATCAGAGCTAGCTTGTTTAAAGCAAGAGTAAGACTGCCCACACAGCCTACAATCATCCAGTTCTCTACTTAACACCAAGAAAGGGCACAGTTCACAGCCAATTACAGATGCAGATATCCTGATTACTTTAAAAGAAGGGCAATGGAAAATGAGAAATACCAGCCCTTAGATGGTGAGATCAGTAAACATCAAATGGCATGACGGGCTTTTTCCAAATTTCATATATAATGAGTGACCATGCTTTACTTACTTATATAGATATAAAGCCCAGAATAAATATTGATTTCACTGCACTGAAAACAAAATTTAGTTTAGTTTTCCATTATTAACTTTTTCACTGTCATAAATGGGGTATGAGAACTAAACAAAAAGACTGCATTAACTGTCACAGTCTGATTTTCATCTTTTTTTTTCAATTAGTAATTATCGTTATCGTTTTCCCTTGTAAATCTGCTTTTGAAAATCTGTCTGCATTATTCATTTTGACAGTGTCCCTTTAAGGCAATGCATCAACTGTTTACTGTGGGGCCCTCTACCAAACAGTGTGTATGTATAACTGAAAATATAAACATCTAAAAAAGCTATTGAATATGCAAATTATGTGTATGTTTGTAGCACTTGGCTATATTTTATAAAGCAAAGAAATAATTTAGCATTTTAGAATAGGAAATATAACATAACATACAGGTCTTTACTGGAGATTAGCTTTGTGTAAAGTTATGTATGTTGTACCATGAACAGGAGAAGTGGTAATACTCTGTAACTGATTTACAAAGGGACATTTTCATTACTTCAAAATACTCCAGATCTCATCAACCACCTTGTAAAATTTTTTCTGGTATTTGCATTTCATTTCCTGGAGTTACATATGTACACATTATCAGATTAGCATTTCTATTAAGATTTCACTGATAGATAAACGTGGGAAACATGGGTTCTTTTTGTTCTTTGAATAATATACAGCTAGTGTAAAACTTACGTTACACTTAATTCCTGTGGTGATGACCTAATTAAATCATATCTAAAACTTACCTTGGGTTTGAATGCAATCAGCTTCAAAACCATTTCAACAGTGAACACTCCTGTGAAAACCATATTCATTATGTCCATTGCATCATTAAAGAGCTTAGACTGTCCGTAGTGCTGTGAATGAAAAATATAATATTTTTAAATGCAGAGACTTAAAATATTAAGTGAAAGTAAGGCAGCCTAAGGCAAAGTTGCCAAAAATGCAGCACGGGAAACTATTTTCTAGTAGTATTTATGATGCACAGCTATAAACATACAAGACTAGTTGAATATCTCTGGTCAAGAATGGAGTTGTTTAAACCTATTCTGTTTAGGCACTAAGTGGAACAAAACTGTCATTTCTCTACAGCCTAAGGGAATCTCCAGAGAGACGGATTTGAGAAGAAAACTTTTCCCTCAGAAAAGGAGTATTAGACAACAGCAATTTCCCAAGTTTTATATGTTAGGTTTTAAAATTGCATAACCTTGTGTCACACCTGTCTAGAAAGTCTGCAGTATGCTAGTCACAGAATAACATATATTGTGTAGGAGTGCTATTTTTAAGAGGATACGGTGCATACAAGTTGACTGAAAAAAGTAGAATAGTTTGTAAACTGAATTTGAACCATTCTTTTTCTTATCAAAATCTGAAGTCCTAGGGAAAAGAAAGAGACAACTTGGAGAAGTAGATAAGAGAAGTAGCTGGTGAAGAACTGCATACATAATGTAAGAAAATTAGAATAATAAAAATAATAAAAAATATATACACACAAAAAGCCCCATACATACAAAAAATACACACAGGTATATACAGATATGCAGCTAATATATGAAAACATGTTTGTGTGAGGCTTGCATTATCACACAAAACTAGAGCTGCTCCACATATTAAGGTTTTAAACTTCTAAAGAAGATATAAACACAGAGGATAGAAATAGCACAGAATAGTCTGGGTTGGAAGGGACCTTTAAAGATCACCCACAGCCCAATCCAACCAAGTATAGGGTAGTACGTATACAAAATGAACACAGAACAAGTACAGAAACTACACAGGTGTGAAGTAATGCACTGCACAAAAGAATATATTAGATAAAAGAATCAAAGGGGTTGAGACAAATATTCACTAACAAAATTAGACTTTTATGTTCTCTTCAGATTTTCTTGCACATGGATTATTTTAGAAACACACATGCAATATAAATTAAATTACACTGCAGGTATAAAAAAAAAGCTCAAAGAGCTTGATTAGGTTAGGAAGACCTTTATCAACATCAAGCCGTTTTAAACTTTTTAACTTTAAACTTCAAAATTTTACTTCAGAGAACTGATGAACAGATTAGAACATATCACAGAAGAGTACTATGATCAGGGATGGGGTTTTTTAAATTCCACTTCATTAAAAAATACAGGTTGCCATAAATGAAAGGCATTATCACCCATTCCTTCCCCGCAATTTATGCCAACAGCTTCAAAAGAACTTTTGGTTTTCCTACCTGCATAGCCAAGCACAGTGTGTTCAGCATGATGAGGACAAACATGATGTATTCAAATCCAGTAGAATTCACCACATACCAGAACTTGTACTGGTAAGGATTTTTTGGAATATATCTACGAAGAGGACGTGCCTTCAAGGCATATTCTACACACTGACGCTGTAAAAGCAAATACATAAAAAATTGTCAGACTATACCTAACAGTTAATCAACTAGATAATATAATTAATAAGTGCAAATTATTAATTATAAGTCTTAAAAACAGGCAGTCTATCTACCTGATATGGGTGAGTGTGTGTATTAAGTGTTAACAAAGTTCTCAAGTATCTTACCAATCCTCACTTGGTTATTTAGAACTGCACCTAATCACATATATTACTCAGCCACATCCAAAGAACTTCTGAAGTGTTTCATCTTTATACAGTGTAGTAGTATACAGTAGTATACCACAGACTATATATATGTACATGTAGCAGGACTATTCATTCATCCGTAAGTTATGCTTTGTCTTTACCAAAGTAGTTTTCAACCACCAATGTAACTGCAGAGCATAAAATGCTAGAATCAGCAAAACAAATACTGAGAAAGAGTTATTCCTAACAGTTCGGTTAAATTGCCCAGGAAAATCATGTCAGATATGTAGGAACATTATGGATTCATCTCCTACTCTATCAGTGCTTGAAATCTTCATGTAGGCTGGGTCTTCCACTTGCCTTTTGAAGAGTGCTTATACAAGCTCACAGATGGGGACAAAATGCACAGTTTCATGCTTAACTGTGTTTGAATGAAGCGTGTCACAGTTGGACAAGAGTACCTGAAAAATCATGACTGGTCATGAGTTTCTCAGTCAGAGGATTACACAGTAAGAGGGGACAGATTTTTTTTTTTATTTTAATCTGAATATCCCCTGTGAATTTCTAAATAAACGGGGGGGGGGGGGGAGAGGGGGGGAGAGAGTAGAACATTTTTAACACTTTCAGACTATTAAGAACACAAAATTTGTTTTCTTCTTCTTATGGTAAAACCTACATCTGCCTGTGGATAAGCTGGCAAGTGCTGTATTCTTAATGTAACACCAACAAGTGAGACACTAAGAAGCTAACAAGCTTAATGTAACACCTTTCACAACAAAAAGACTGATATGGTGAACTTACAGAAAGAGGAACATACAATGACCCGAATACCAGTTGATAGTATGTACTAATTAAATTTTTTTTTTAACTAAGATTTGTGTGTAGTGCCCTCTTCTGACCCAAAGCAGAAAGGAAGCTCTTCATGCATAAATAAAAAAGAATAATTTCAGAAGTTAGGAGTTCATTGTTTATTTTAACCTGATTTTTGTCCAGCTCACAGTTCTTGTACTCTTGTTCTCCCTGTTCTTGGAATGTAACAATCACAAAACCAACAAATATGTTCATCATAAAGAAAGCAATAATGATGATATAGATGATGAAAAAAATGGAGATCTCCACTCTATAGTTGTATACAGGACCCACATTCTCGCCATTTGAATCAATAGCTTTGTATAGCAGCCTGGAAAACAAACAAAATTTTATCTTTATTAGCATTAAAATGACAAGAGATAGTAAAATATGTAGACCCAGGGAACGGATTTCAGAAATGGTCTGCTCTTTACTGTTATCTTTTTTCTAGTTACTGACAGTGCTTACAAGCGTATCAAAACCAGAAAAATCACACCACACAATGTTATGTGTTTCTTACCAAAAGAATCAAGGTAACAAGCAGATGATCGTATTTTATATTTTTATTCCACACACACCCCCACCCCCACCCCTCAAAGTTATCCTCTAAGGCTTTTCTCATTTGGGGAAATAGTGAGTGGTAGTTTGCTCTTCCTGGTCCTCTCTATGCAATGTACTATTGCCTGGTTTTGTAGTAAAAGTTCTACCCAAAGCCCTAAAATTTTCATGTAAGTATTAAAGGGTATCGATGGATAAACATCTAAAAGGATTACTTCCATTGGAGCTAAAGAATGGCTCATTATAGCAAAAGTAGCTGAAAGATTAGGAACCAAACAATATTTAAAAAGTTTGCCCTTTATAGATACAGGTGAACGAAGAACTACAGGAAAAGTGCACAGATTCAGAAGGACAGTAGGTTTTTTTCCTTTCTTCATTAATAAGATTTTACACCATCACTTAAGACTGCTTTGTTGCCCAAAAATGCCTGGTAAATGATAAAGAACCATTCTGGAAAATGTAACTGTCTTAGCAATGCTGTGGAAACAGAGTTCACTCACGCTGGCCAGCCTTCAAAAGTGGATACTGTAAAAAGGGCCATCATAGCAGACAGAACGTTATCAAAGTTGAAATCACTATTTTGCCAGACCCTCTCTTTGACCATTGGATTATCAACATCTCCATCTTTATAAACGATGTATATCCCTCTGTGGGAAAGAAACAAACTGTCATTAGTAAAGTATAAAATTAGCTTCAGAGTTACTCAATGCTCTATTCAAAACAGTTCATTTTACTCCCTCCCTAAGCTTGTTTTATTTCCTTGCTAACCTGTGTTTTCTGGTGTATTTAAAATGATAATTCCAATTTACACAAACCTAAATGGCCTGACACATGCCCACCCATATCTGTGACAGTTTAAATTATTCAAAATATAATGTGTCATTTTTATATCA